ATCTCTGTTCTTCATGGGACAAAAGAGGGTGGTGGTGGTGGTATGAGAAGCCGAAGCTGATTTTCTCCCCCTGACTCCCTCCTCCAAGTAGAATTACTCCTTGTCTGTGTACCTGGTGAGGCAGCTGACTGCAGGGACCCTTCTACAGAAACTGAGAGCCAAGGGCATCCGCAACCCAGACCATTCTCGGGCCCTGAGTGAGTAGCATCCTTTTCCTCTTCCCCCTCTGATTTGGACCTCAGTCTTCTTGGCCCTCCAGCCTTCATAATACCTTTCTTGTGACAACTTCCTTCTCTTTTCACCCGAACTCCAACTCTCTCCTGTACTCCCTACCAGTCTTCACGTTGAGAAGCCAGACCGTTCCCAGGATGGATGGGATCTGGTTCTTGGACTGGAAAGCAGCTTCAGATCCTTCTAGGTCATCTCTAATGTAGCCATGTGTAAACCACTTCAGGAATTGGGAAGTCTCTCCCTCACACCTAGCCTTTGTAACCCAGATCTCAACCACCCACGGGACCAGTCCAGTGATCCCCAGACTCTCCACCCAGCTGCCTTAGCCAGGCATCTGCCTCGGCCTCACCAACCCGGGGCTTCCTTCAGCCTTACTGACCCTATGGCTCTGGCCTCACTCTTGTTTCAGTCAAGGAGAAATTGACGGCTGACCCTGACAGTGAGGTGGCTACTACGAGTCTCCGGGTGTCACTCATGTGCCCGGTGGGTACAAGGGGAGAAGGGAAAGGGGAGGGAGGTCGGGCTGAACCTCTGGACTCTGAGGAGTGTTCTTTGGGAGTGAGAGTGAGGTTTTCTGGAATGAAACCAGGGTGAAGTCTCTGACTAGAAAGTTCTCTCCTCAGCTAGGGAAGATGCGCCTGACTGTCCCATGTCGTGCTCTCACCTGCGCCCACCTGCAGAGTTTCGATGCTGCCCTTTATCTACAGATGAATGAGAAGAAGCCAACATGGACATGTCCTGTGTGTGACAAGAAGGCTCCCTACGAATCTCTTATTATTGATGGGTAGGGTCATTTTTCTTCCTCTTAGCTAGGCATCCACCAGGACCCTCTTGACATAAATGGCTTAACTTCCCGTCACATGAACTCCCGCTCTCGCTCTGTCCCCTTTAGCTGTACATTCACAAATGTACATACATGCAGACATGTGCGTGTGTGAGTGTGACAATATTAAGGAACATGTATGTATGAGGCCTAGTGCTGAGCACTTTTGTGCCTTATCTCATTGAATCCTCCTAATAACCCTGTGAGATAGGTACCATAGAGGAAATTGAGGCCTAGCGAGATCGAGTCTTGCTCAAGTTTATACTGTTAGTAGCGCAGTTATAACTGAACCAAATTGTTATAACATATTGTTTTAACAACTATCTCACCTTCTACTGAGCATAGCAATAAAGTTCATTTGAGGGTCTGGGTGTGCTAATCCAGTTAGATTTTTTTTTCCTTACAAGCAAAGAATATTTTATTTCCCACAAGTAAAGATTTTTTTTCATAAGCAAAGAATTTCTTTTTCTTAGTTAATCTTATCCATCTTCTAGAGTCTTCATATGGGTCTTGCTTACAGTGTGTTTTTTGAGATGGTTTAAGGAGTTCTGTATCTCTTTTTCTATCTTGTTCCTAGATTATACCTAACAAGTGCTCAGATTGTATTTATGTCAAAACCTAACAGCAAAAGTTTGCAAAGTTCTTTTACATATATACTTACTTTGATTTCAACAGTGACTCAGAGGTCTAATAGGGTGGATATCCCTATTTTACAGATGAGGAAACTGAGTCACAGGAAGGTGAGTCACAGAACTGAGTACTGTGCAGCCATCTCCTGGGCCTCATAAATGCCCATCTTTCCCTTCCTCTAGTTTATTCATGGAGATTCTTAATTCCTGTTCGGATTGTGATGAGATCCAGTTCATGGAAGATGGATCCTGGTGCCCAATGAAACCCAAGAAGGAGGCATCTGAGGTTTGCCCCCCGCCAGGGTATGGGCTGGATGGTGAGTGACCCCCAGACCCCCAGCTGAGCTAAATCTCAGATGGCCCTTTTTCTAAGACAGTCCTCTTACCACCTACAGGCCTCCAATATAGCCCAGTTCAAGAGGGAAACCCTTCAGAAAATAAGAAGAAGGTTGAAGTTATTGACTTGACAATAGAAAGCTCATCAGATGAGGAGGATCTGCCCCCAACCAAGAAGCACTGTCCTGTCACCTCAGCTGCCATCCCAACACTACCTGGAAGCAAAGGGTAAGAGAATCTACAGCAAAAGGGACAATGGAAGAGTCGGGAATGCTTTCTGATCAAACCCGGAGGCCGGGAAAGGTGGAGAGGGTAGAGGGGACCTGGGAAGTCGGCCTGGGGGACAGTGTGGTCCACTAGCTGCCCCAGCCCCTGCTTTCCTTACAGAGTCCTCACACCTGGTCACCAGCCCTCCTCGGTGCTACGGAGTCCTGCCATGGGCACCTTGGGCAGTGATTTCCTGTCTGGTCTCCCACTACCTGAGTACCCACCTGCCTTCCCCCTGGGGGCTGATATCCAAGGTATGACACTGAGGCACAGATGGGACCCTGCTCCTTTGCAAAGTCTCCTGGGTCTCCTCTGAGAAGCCACCATCCACAGACCTTGTCTTTTGGCAGTGAAGGGGTCAGATAGGAAGTTGATTTTGATTTTTCTTTTCCTGCCAGGTTTAGATTTATTTTCTTTTCTTCAGACTGAGAGTCAGGTAAGTGGTTCCTTTCTCCATGAAGATCTGAGAGCTCTGAAGCTTCCTTTCTAGGCACTGAGGGCACCCTGGTCTCTGCCACTGTCCCTGGGAACTCAATCTTTCCTGTGAGGGAGGGAGGATGAAGGTAGCTGTTTCCCCCTCGGCCCCACTAGTACCTCCTCAGACTCCTACATGTTTTCCTGGAACCTGTCACTGTTCTTTGAGGGTCTTTAGTGTCGTCCGCCCCTGCCTGCTCGCCTTCTCACATCCTGTGCACCTAAAGCACTGGGTGTACCCCGCTGCCGCCCAGGCCCCACATTTCAGACACCTCAAGGCCAAGAACCTGGTGTGCTGGAGGGGCTGTCTCCAGGCAGCGCGAAAGGGAGGGGTGTGGGAGAGCAGGCAGAGCACAGAGGTCCTCCTTCTGGAGAAACAAGAGCCCTTGAAGCCCACAGGGGCTCGGTGACCCCATGGGACATTTCTGAGCTGAGTTTGGGAGGTGGGAGAGTGGGGATAGACCCTAAACTGTGCCCTTGATTCCTCAGCACTATGGTCCTTCCGTCATCACCTCRCTAGATGAACAGGATGCCCTTGGCCACTTCTTCCAGTACCGGGGGACCCCTTCCCACTTTCTGGGTCCACTGGCCCCCACACTGGGGAGCTCTCACCGCAGCTCCACTCCAGCACCCTCTCCTGGCCGTGTCAGCAGCATTGTGGCTCCTGGGGCGCCCTTGAGGGAGGGACATGGAGGACCTCTGCCTTCAGGTCCCTCTTTGACTGGCTGTCGGTCAGATATCATTTCCCTGGACTGAGTTCCTTGGATTCTGGAACCTTCACTGTCCTCCAACACTGAGCAAATATGCTGTGTGGACCCCAGCCCCTGGCCACTCTCATCCCTCGGGGGCTTTGGCCAAAGGCCACACAGACCTTCAAGGACACCTCCTTTGGCCTCATCTCTGCCTAACAAAGCCAGCAGCAAAAGGTCAATATTCAGCTTCTTTTAAAGGACATTGGGGACTGTTCTTTAGATGGTGGCACGTTCCTTTGCTGTGTTAACCTAGGCAGTGGGGAGCAGATGAGATGGGGTGGCAGTTGGGGAAGGGTTGGAGGCTCCTGGGGAAGGGGCCTTTTTTTTGTCTGTGAGATGCCCTCTCCGTCCCCCAAGCCCAACCATTCATACTTTTCATGTCCATTCCGTTCCCTTTGGCCACACAGGCGGCGGGACAGACAGGCAGTTTCAGAGATGGACAAAAAACCTCTATTTTGTGTTGTGGATTTTTTTGTACATAAACAGAAAACTCCCAAATACTCCAAAGATGACTTTCCTGCCCCTACTTCCCAGTATGACTGAGYAGGAGAGAGGCCTTAAGTCAAGATCCCCAGGGTTTGAGAACAGGGAGGGCCCAGCGACTGCCTGGGTCCCTCTCTATTTATATATTTAAGTTCACAGCGGGTCTGAACACTGACCAGCCTGGGGCCTGTGCCTCTGGAGGCCCACCTGTGCCTCTCRAGGCCGTGGCCCTGGGCTTCGCCCTGGCTCATTTTGCACCTTTCCTGGCAGGTGGGAGGACCCTTGTGCCCTCCTTCCCAATCTCTCTTCTCTGGCTCCTCAAGGGCCTGGAACCTATGTTGTAATTTTACTTTTTACTTTCAGAGTTGTAGCAAAGTTCTCACCCTAATAAAGGTTGTGAATGTTCTGAGTGTCATGGAGGTGGGCTAGGGAGGGGGTGGGCACTTCACTTTCCATATCCCTGGGTTGGGGGAAGAGGGTCCATGTTCCATTCTTCCTTTGATGCCCTACATCCACGTAAGCTCCACTTTCACCTGATGGCGTGTTACTCTGAGGACTTCAAGAGCAGTTATTCATCCCTTCCTCTCCTGCATGCCCATAAGAACCCTAGACCATTCCAGCCCCAATGCCGCGGAGCCCTCAAGTCGTTCCTCATCTTTACCTGTGCACATGTTGCAGCCGTAGCCGGAGGGCCAACTTGGTTCCAGTGCTGATCCTCTCCTTGTCCTCCTCTGTGGTTGGGGTTGTCCACAGCAGTGTGGTCGTGGGACCGGAGGTTGGGCTCCTCCATCCTCCTCTAGTTCTCCTGCACTGCAGTGTGACAGCTCTTGTCTGAGTTGTCCCTTAGAGCTTAGAAAGGACTACTTTTTTTTTTTTTTTAATTTTTAGATGTTGATGGACCTTTATTTTGTTCATTTATTTGTATGTGGTGCTGAGAATCGAACCCAGAGCCTCACACATGCTAGGCAAGTGCTCTGCCACTGAGCCACAACCCCAGCCCCTAGAAAAAACTTCTTTTTTAGGTCATGTTAGGTGGTTGGGTATTAATCTCATTTTACAGAAAGGCAAGAGGTTCAAGGAGGGTGCCCTTAGTTGAGGGTCAAACTTAGGTCCTCATTTCTAGCCAGTTGGAGTAAGAACCCTTGGAGTTTGATCTCATGTATCTCCCAATCATCAGTGAACCAACTCATTCCCTAAATCTTCTCTACACCACAAAATTCCATTCTAAAGAAAAGAAGGGAACTGAGTTTCTCAGTGTGTAAGTGGTGTTATGTTGGAGGCTAAGGAAGAAGCTCTCACTTCCAGGATAGAGGATGGGCGGTCCTGAGGGAGATCTCTGGGAGTTTCTGTCCTATCCAGCCCGGTCCTGGCTCCTGGCCGCGGCACCCACTGCAGCTGCTGTATCTGGTTCCAGCCACATAGAGGCGCTCACCTCACTTGGGTTTGGTTGGATCCGGACCTGGGATTAGACATGTTGATTTCCTTAGCCATGGCCTCTCCCTGGCCTGTTCTGAGCACAGCAGACCCACAGGTGGAATGGAGAGAGACATGGGGCAGGGGCAAGAGAGATGCTACTGGTTGTTCTTGTTTCTCCCTCCTCCCACATCCTTAATCACACTCCGTGGGAACCATGTTGGTTGGGTTCCCTTGAGTCTTAAGTTCCGTTTTCTTCCTCYACTGCCAGACCTACCTGCAGCTGCTGCCCTGACTCCTGGGAGATCACAGGTGGATAAAGAATGATGCGATGGTATTTGGGGAAACCCCAGCTCACCTAGGATAGGCAGACTAAGAAGAAGACAGCCAAAGTGAGAAATTCCTGTTTTTCAGACTTCATAAGTATAGTTTTAGGATGAAACAAAATGCTGGCTAGAAGCTGAGAAAGTGGATAATGTGGTGCGGGAGGGACATGGGGAGGGTTGTCATGGCTTGAGGACCCCAGTTTACCCACACTTCACCGGTTCCCCAGTGCCCAAGGCAGGTGGAGGCTATTCTGTGGACTTTGGGGGTCGTTGAGGTCTCAGTTAAATAGGGAGGACCTCTTCCAGGGCCCTGTCTCAGCTCCCATAATCCCAACAGACCCGAGACAAGTGGCCCTGGGGCAGCTGTAGTCCAGTCTCCTCCCACAGCTCTCCAAGTCCTCCGTCCGCAGCTGGGAGTCACGGAGGGCAGGTCAGAGGCTAAAACCTGTCTCCAGTCCTTTGGTCCTTTCCTCCCTTACCCACGCCCAGGGCGGACCCGGACTTGGGTTTCTCGGCTCGCTCGGGGCAGGCGGGTCAGCTGATCAGGTTCCACATGTCCACCTACAGTAAGTGGAACCCATCGGGCACGGAGGTGGAGTTCGGCAGAGGCCCCCCCACCCCAGTGCGCGGGGTGCGCTCCGTGGCCGAGCCAGTTTGGGGCCCGCTCCTCTACCCTTCCCAGGCTGGAAGGGCATGTGGGGGAAGGAGGAAGCAGCTTTCGCTGGCCTCGGCCGGGTCGCGGGGAGCCCCGAGAGTACGTGTCAGCAAGATGTCAAGGAGGCAGGCTGGCCGCGGGGCTGCACGGGACGGCCACCCCGGGACCCACGCCCAGAGGCCCGGGCTGCAGGCCAAGGCCCAGCCGGGCCAGGCGGGGCGGGGGCGCTCGGAGGGATGGGCCGGCCAGCCCCGTCCTGGTCCCCGCCGCTGCCCCTTCCCGACCTGGAGCGGAAGTCGCCCGAAGCCTCCCAGGAAGGGCCTGCGCGGTCGTGGGTCGCCGCCTTCCGCCGCGCGCCCTCTGGCGGCCGGCGTGCTCCCCGTCCCGTTGGGGACGGTCCCCGGGCTGCTGTCCTCAGGCCCCCGCTTCCCCTCCTCCGACTTCTCTGCTTAGGACGATCTCCGCACGGACGCTCCCCGGGGTCTTGCCACCTCCSGCCACCGCTCTGTGCACGCCCCTTAGAATCGATGACGTCCGTCCCCAAGTCACTCAGGCAACGTTGGGTACCGCCACCTTCCCTCACCTCCCTCAGAACCGAGTGCCCGGGTCCTGTGGCCTTGAACTTCCCCAAATCTGACGTCTTGCTCTCCTGGGCCTGCAGAGCCCAATTCCCAGCCTTCCTCCCTCCCGCACGTCCCCACGTCCTGTCCAGGTCGTCCTCTGCCAGGAGCCAGAATGAGCTTAAGTCGGTTCACTGTAATCACCGGGCGGTGGAGTTCACTGCCACCTACCCGTGCTGCCCAGCACAGCTGACCCACCGTCAGCCCCGGCCCCTGCAGTCTCTGTAGCCTACACTCTGGCACCACCCGCGCCCTATTTCCTAGTCCTCGCTATTTGTAGTTTGCACAAAACCCAGCCTCTACCCCTTTCACCTGGAACAACCCTCACCTCTCAAGCCACAGAGGGTCCCTTTCCTTTCTTGCCTCTGTGCACCTGGCACCGACTCCTCCACTTCAGCTCTCCGTGTACTCGGCTCTTTGTATCCCTAAAGTCTTGCTCAGTTCTTGGTACTAAGTTAACTATGGTGGGAGGGCTGAGGGCAGAGCTGGGCTTTTACTAAATTTTGTATATTGTATTAATTAAGCACTCTTGTTTAAAGAATCAGAACACACACTGGTTTGGATCATAAACCACATGTAACTGCTTTAAATGAATTGAAGCTGCTGGGACAAATTATATCCATGATAGTGAGAGAGAATTTAGAGTTGTCATTTTCCAGAGACCATGTGAAAAGGAAAGCGATAATTTTCTGTTTGCTTATGAGAAGCCTGGCATTGTGCTGTGTTCTACATTCATATTTTCAGATGTACTAGAAGCCCAAATATGACTGCTTGAGCCAATCCACCTGTTAGCCCTAAAAATAGGCTTTCCCTCCACTTCATGGTAATCTTCCACATTCCCTACACAATGTGTGTATGTGTTAAAAATTACAGCTCAATGAAATAAACAACAGACTTTTGAAAATGGAATTGATGGCTTAGGGAGAAATTTCTATTGTGAGAGACGTTCAAACACAGGCGTGGCTAACTTAGATGATTAATTTTAATCATTTAAGATTCTTTCTACTGCCAAGATTTGATGAGGGGAGAATATAATGATGAGTCTAAACCAGTCAGCAGACTTGAAAAAATGTGTCAAAATTTTCCAGGTATTTTCATAAAGGAATTTTCAGTATAAGAATCTGCAACTTATTCCACTTAAAAGAATGCATCCAGGCACCTCCTTTATTTTTCTTTCCATCCCCCCAGATATTTTGAGGAAGATGCTTCTTCTGAGTCATTGTCTCTTCATGGTGCTCTCGATGTATGACTCCAGCAAGAAGATTGTTTCATCTACCTGGATCTCACTGGCATCCAACCTGAATGAAAAAGTAAAAGCATTTGCCCAGACCGAATGTTCATTAGTATATTTAAATTTAGAGGATGGGGTAGTGTCTTGGTTACCCTTGAGAATACTGGGTGGAAAGCAGAAGAACCAATAAATCACTTTTCATTTTCTGAGCATCTTTTAYGTGCCAGGCACTGTGGAAGCTGCTGAGTGTGTACAAGATAAAGCCTCCGTTTTTAGGGAGTTTAGCCTAACTTGCAACCAAGAGAAAGACTAGCACACATAAAGGTAGGTAAAAGGAGCTAGTGTATTTTAAAATCGTGAGAAGCTAAGAGTGGCTGAAGCGTAATGTTAGTGGTGATTAGGAAAAGAAGGGGACTTTCTTAACCTGATGTAAGCCTCCTAGGGGAAAAACCACAGCTAACATCATACTTAATGGTGAAAAACCTGAAAGCTTTCCCCTAAGATCAGGAGCAAGAGTAGGATTTCTTGCACTTCTACACAAAAATTGTTTTTTTTTTTTTTAAAGGTGTAGTTGGACACAATGCCTTTTGTTTTATTTACTTATTTTTATATAGTGTGGATTGAACCCAGGGTCTTGCTTGTGCTAAGCGAGAGCTCTACCAATGAGCTACAACCCCAGCCCCCAAATTGGTTGTTTTTCTCTATACTAGCAATGAATGATCTAAAATAGGGACACATAGGTAAATAACAAACAAAACAAAACAAAACAAAAAACTTGGGAATAAACTGACAAAACAGGTGAAGTCTTGACCACAGAAAACAGTAACTCATTGTTGAAGGAACTTAAAGATGACCTAAGTAGATGGGCAGCATGCTTGTTGTGCTCACAGRTAGAGGATTTTAATGTTAAGATGGCAGTGTTCCCCAAGGCAGTCTGCATGTTCATCATTATCCTGATTCAGGTGGGTGATGCAGAGTAAGAAGAAATGAAGGTACCACAGGCTGCTATGAAATTGTGAAGTTCACTGTATGTCACACAAAGTCTGGTCTTTATACCATAAAGATAGGTAGTCAATAAATCATCTGAAATAGTGATATTATCAACCATTTTAAAGATGATAACTTTGAAAGCACTATGAGATGGTTTGGATGAGGAAGTCATGGGAAGGTCTGGAAGGGATGTGTGAAGGTCTGTACGGGGACTAGGATGAAAGGCCATATTTGGGATACGTAACTGAGCTGAGGAAGAAGATGGTGAGTTTAGGTTGGCCCATGTTAAGTTGAGGTCTGGCAGGATATTGCGATGGATTTGTCTGGAAGGTATTTTGAAATATAGCTTGAAGCTATGATGCTTACTTGTTGACATTCCGTTTCAGGGTCTCCAGCTGCTGACGTTCAGGAGCTGTGATCATCTCTTCTATTTCTTGCAGCTGTGCCTCCTCTGCACCTGTGGCCTGCATAGATGCAATGATGGCTTCTACCCTCTGAGACTTTTCTAGTAGACGCCTGTCAGACAAACACAACTCTGAGGCATCTTCCTTAACTCTGAGGTTTTCTTACCCTTTCTCCCTGAGGCACAAGTTCCCCTTTCACCATGTTCCTGATCAAAGTGGATAACAGCACCTTTAAAGACGTTTTCTATAGACTTACTCTGCAAAATTATTTGGGGGTATACTGGAAAAGTCTAGACTAATGCACGATTTATGCCAACCTTAAACAATGATTCAATTAACTAGACTGGTTATTGGATAATTGTCTCCATTTCTATAGAAAATTCCCTTTAGGCCTTTGATCTTGAAAAATGTAAATGACAAATGAAAATGCTACTCACTTGTTCTCTTTGGTTTCAAATTGTCTCCTTTCTATTAAGTTGGCTATGCTCTGAGGAAAGAGAAGAAAGACTAGAAATGTATATAGTTGTATTATTTAAAGTGGGTAGAGGTGGCACAGGATGAAACGTCTCAGTGAAGGGAATGGGAAGAAACCACATGAGGTTACCTTGTAGCACCTGTGCAACAACATGCGGGCAGCTGATAGGACATTCACAGTGTATAAATAGAAGGTCCTAGATGGGGCATGGTCTGGTGTTTTGGGAATTTCCTATTTGTCATAGAAAGAAAAATAAGAAAAATTGTACGACTTTTTCAGAATTGGCAAAGTAAGCACCCATCCCATTCAGAGTCATTCAATTCTCTCTTTCACTAATACTTTCCCCTTCCCTAGTCATCTAGTCGCTCTGTTTATGACACAATCAGCCACATGAAGACTGCATAGCCCTGATTTTTTCATTTGACTATCAGCATCCTAAGTGGGAAAGAAAGGGAAGGCAACTAATACTTACTGAGCAAACTCAACATGCCAGGTGGCTCATATTTGACCTTGACAACCAAACATGTTCTTATGACCACAATCTGTCACCACTGTTTAATGATGGTAGGTGACTTGTTCAATGTAACTGGGTAAGAGGCAGAGCTGTGATCTGCTCTAAAACCTATTCTACCTACTTCCCGATAGCGTCTCTGACATATACTCAACATATACTATTGATAGAGTTAAGGCTCAGGAAAGGACAGGAATGATAGGAAAAAAGGGAAGCATGGTGTTAAGGCAATTCCTTGGCTACCTTTCTTACTAGGCCAGTTAAAGCTCCACAGTATACTTTAAGTGCTTGTTATGTCTTTGTTAATAAATTTTTCTGTCTCATAGCTGGATTCAGAGTTTGCTTGGGGACTCAGTTTGCTTGAAACTCTACTTCAAGAGTTTTTCTCACTCTAGGACAGTTTTGCTGGTTGGCATTTATATGCGTGGCTACCTGGAGTGAGATGAAATTTTCCGAGAGCATCTTATATAGCATATCCTTTGCCTCCTTTGCAGGAATCATTGCAAAGTCCTCCACCTGCTTCTGTTCCAGGTGTTTCTTTTGCAAAACTAGACGGAATATTCTGGCACAGCGAGATCCGAATCTGGAAAGAAATAAACAAAGTAAATAGCGTACCAATACGAAAAAAAAAAAACATTAGCTCCTGGTCTTAGATGGTTGTTGTCCTAGTCCACAAGTGGAGCCAGGACCAAAAGAACAGCAATCAGAGAATTCCTTCACAGCTCCACAGGCTGGTGATGGTATTGTTCATCATAAAGGAGTCACCAACTGCTGACTCATTTGAGTGCCACAGTTATTGTGTTACAAGACTTTAAAGAGGCTGGTTAATTTGCATCACCAGGAATTAAACAGTGTTTTTTTTTGGGGGGGGGGGAGTGCAGAGTAGTAGTAGGTGGGGTCCATAGCTGTTCAGTGGAAAAATGGGGCAAAATGTGCCTTTACTGATTACTTACATAATGATTAAATGCTTGTTCAAATGAGGTATGGATAGGAAGTGTCTAGCTCCAATCCCAATCAGAATGACCCCCTTACCTCTCCTGTACGACGGATTCCAGAGTCGCTGTGGCTAGAGATGCTAATGCCTTATGGAGGTCTTTATGTAGAGGATTAAGGTCACTTAGTAATGTTTTAGCCTTGTCATTTTGACAGTTTTATTCCTAAGTTTCTAATTTATAATTAAAATTTAAGTGACATTTTATTTTTTACATTAGTTTTATTTATGGTATGYAAGTTTCTTAAAATTTTAATTAATGAAAATGTTTAAGAATTTTGCTTAACTAAAATTTGGTTGAGTAAAATTTCTTTTTATTTTGTCATTAATGTAGTTAATTGAAAATTCATAGAAAAATAGAAAGTTACTTCAATTTTCTAATTTATTTAGTATAATAAACATTACCAGATCTTTCTTTCATAAGTCACCATTCTGCTTTAAAGCTCAGGGTACCGTAGTAACTAAGAATAATTGGTAGGAGTAGCACAGTGCTAGAGAGCTTGCCTAGCATGTGAGAGGCACAGGGTTTGATTCTCAGCACTGCATATAAATAAGTTAATTAAATAAAGGTCCATCAACCACTAAAAAAATTTAATGAAAAAAGAATAACTGGTAAGGATACTGATGACATACATTCCTCCACCACTGTCGCCAGACTTTCCAACAAACTCTAGCTATTAAAAAAAAGAGAAAGAGTGTTAACTGAATGGAAAGTCCAGTGATTCTGTTTCCAATGGAGTGAATCTGGCCAAGAGTCTGCACCAAGTACCTTTCCTATCAGATGATGGTGGGGAAACCGTCTGAGCTGGCTAGTACAGAATGAGGCTACAGGAGAATGATACTAGGTGTCAGTGGCAGAAGTAAATTGTAAACAGAGGAGCAGGAAAAAAAAAAGTGCAAAAACAGACTTACTGGATCATCTGCCAGCAGAGTGAGATACTGATCAAGAACTTGCTTAGAGATGTTGTAGCCAACCGGCAGGGACCTGAAGATCTATGGAGCAAAAGGGGACACTGGAAATGGGCTTGATGATCTAGGATTGCTATCATTAATAAAGATGTTTTAATTTTAGCTATCACAAGTATTAAAAAATGTTCAAAAAATATTCACTGTAACATTGTTAAGAGTAAGAAAATAAGAAACAACCCAATGTCCAGTAATAAGGAATTAAAATAAACTACAGCATGGGCATTAATGGGATAAAAGAAGTCTTATACTGTCATATGAAAAAGTAAGTTGTAGGGCTGAGGATGTAGTTCAGTGGTACAGTGCTTGCCTAGCACGTGAGAGGTCATGGGTTTGACCCTTCACCACAAAACAAAAAAATGAGTACAATCTCATTTTTTTTGGGWTAAAATAAAAAATACATAGATCTAYATATATGTTAGGCTATATGTTAAAAAATGCTCCGAATAAACATATATATCAAACTATTAACAGGGATCTCTGGGGCTGAGATTATGTAAAATTATGGATATTTTAAATTGATGTATATTACAGAAAATAAGAAGCATAGATCTTAAGGGTTCAATTTGATCAGTATTGATAATTGTATATACCCATGTAACTACCAGGCACAATAAAGAACATTCTACCACCCTTGAACCTTTGGGTAAATGGTAACTTTAAAAAATTTAGCCACAACATTCAATTTAAATAAATTATGAAATATATTTGATATATTAAGCATTAATATTTTAAAGATAATACAAAATTTAGCTGGGTATAGTGGCATAAGCCTGTAATCCCAGCTACATGGGAGGCTGAGACAAGAGGATCACAAGTTCAAGACCAGCTTGGGCAACTTAGTAAGACAGTGTCTCAAAATAAAAAAACAACAGGGGCTGTGGATATAACTCAGTGTAGAGTACCCTTGGTTCAGCGTCCAGTACAGACACAGACACAGACACACAGACACACACACACACACTTCAAACACAAGGGGTCAAATACAAATAATGCCCAAATGCCAAGRTTCTCAAAGATTCTTTTTAAATTTTTTTGAGATAGGATCTAACTATGTTGCCTAGAAAGGCCTCAAGTGATTATTTTGCCTCAACCTATCCAGGAGCTGGGGACTACAAGGTGCACACTACACATACTGCTAGTGAATTCTTAGAACAATTAGGAATAAGTTATATATGACAAATAAGTAGATTTTTAAAAGCTGGATCCCAAGAGACCAAGTATTTCAGTGCTTACCACTTGAAGGTAATCTAAATAATAAAAACCCTTTTCTTTCAAAGCTTGGGCCTAGACCCTAGGCTCCACGTATGATAATTGTTATAATATCCACAAGTCTTAGAAGCTAGCACAAAAACATGAAACTCACCTCATTGGAAGACAATGGTTGAGTGAAGGGGGCACTAGAGGGAGTGGTAATCTCACTCATCCGGAGCATGGTCCGCACAATCTCACTGCTTGTCTGGGTTTGAAAAGTAAACTGGGATTCAGAATTAGTTGTGTTGCCCCAGATCTGGCTATGTGCCAAGGGCCACATCTGGCAACTGAATTACTTTATTCCCTATGATCACTGAMAGACCCCCATGTAGATACAACCTGGTCCATCCTGTTGGCAACTGCGCTCACAATGGCTTGGTCACGGAAGTGTTGGTGGAATCTCTCAAGGTTGGCCTGCCAATAAATCCCATCATCTGGAATGGGCTGAAGAGGAGAAAAGTATTATTAGAGAGAAACGTTTAAACAATGCAGAGTTTTCTGGTGAGGAGCTTGGATTTGACTGTTCACTGTTTCTTTTCCTCTACTATAACAACTAAATTGGTTGGAGAAAAATCATTCAATCATATGAATTAGTGTCTTGATAAATTCTAGCTTCAAACTAGTTCTCCACACTAATCTCCAATCTATTTCTATTTTAACTCTTTTCCATTATCTCAAGTCTCCTACTTGATTCTTTCTTTCTTACTTTTAGCTGATGATCTTGCCTTTGATTTCACAGAGAAATCAGAAGTCATTAAGTAAAAACTCACTTGACTTTGTGCACACATCCTCTTTCTTTCTTGCTTTAAAATTTTTTTTTCTTTTTTGGTAGCACTGGTGTGTGGAGGGGGGTCAAACTCTGGGCCTTGTGCACACTAGGTAAGTGCTCTATCACTGAGCTACATCCCCAGCCAGATCTCTACTGTGTATTTTAATTTGACATGTTTATGTGCATGTTTATGGAGTACAGTGAAATATTTAAATACACGTATAAAATGTGTAATGATCAGATCAGGGAAACTGGCATTATCTATCACCTCAGAGATGTGTATTCTTCATTATCCTTAACGTTGTTAACTGCATTTCAGGTTCTAATCATGGCTCAACTGGATTATAATAGCTTCCTAACTCATTTTCAACTGAGGATTGAACTAAGGAGTGCTTTACCACTAAGCAGTCCTTTCTATTTTTTATTTTTGAGATAATTATTAAGGGTATAAATTGCTTAGGGTC